AATTAGCCAAGTGTGGTGGCGCATGCCATGCCTGTAATCCCAGCTACTCGGGAGGCTGAGGCAGGAGAATCGCTTGAATTTAGGAGGCGAATGTTGCAGTGAGCTGAGGTTGAGCCACTGCACTCCAGCCTGGGCAACAAGAGTGAAACTCCATCTCAAAAAAAAAAAAATCGGGGGAGCTGAGAGTGATGTTTCATTTGGGATGGGGTTGGGCCTCCCTGGAAATCAAATAGCTTCAGCCTCTTACCAGCCAGTATTTGCTGAAGGCAAGCTTGGTGACTGGCAGCTGGGGCAGGAGAAACGAAAATATATAGCCCTCATCATCACAGAGCTCACGCCTGAGCTGGGAGACAAGGTCAAGGCTTGAAGTCTGAATGCTGCAGCGGTCAGGACGGAGTAGATCAGTAAAGCCACAGGCTTGCTCTTGTGCCTCTCCTGGCTCCCTGGGAGGCACTGATGAGGCAGGAGTCTTAGAAGCAGGGAAATACAGTTTTCTGCTGCAGCTGTGGCACATTCTACGCAACCAGGTAAACTACTGAATCTCTCTTGCTTCGGTTTCCTCATCTGAAAATGGGTCTAAGAATTGTAGCTGCCATTCAGGGCTGTTGTGAGGACCTGGGGGCCCTCCGCTGGTGACAACTGGTGTCATGATTTCTCCCACTCTAGCCAAGGTGGAGCAGGTGAAGTTCGATGCCTCGTCCATGCATGTCCAGCCCCAGGTGGCTGCCCAGCAGAAGATGGTGGATGATGGGAGTGGAGACGTGCAGGTATGTGAGGGCAGAGAGGCCCGTGCTGGGTGGAGCAGGGATGGTGGAGCCTGTTCTGGACGTCACCCTGGCCTGACACTGGCCCTAGGTGTGGCGTATTGAGGACCTAGAGCTGGCACCTGTGGATTCCAAGTGGCAAGGCCACTTCTACGGGGGCGACTGCTACCTGCTGCTCTACACCTACCTCATCGGCGAGAAGCAGCACTACCTACTCTACATCTGGCAGGTCAGGTCCCGCCCTGTCCCACCTAGAGCACAGCTGGCTTAGCTCCACCTTGTACATACTCCTGCTAAGTGGCCATCACCCTTGGGTTGAATTCCTCTGGGGATGGGGAGCTCACCCCTTCAAGATGGACTGCTTTGGCTACGAGGTCCCACTAGTACCCCATTCACAGCCCTTTTCCTTTTGGTTCTCTGAGTCTCCCTTCCAATTTTAATTGCCTTCTGCACATTCTTGTCACCTGCTCTGCCCATGGGTTTTTGTGTCTAGATGGGAGGGAGCAGGTAGGTGCTGGGAGTGAGTGGTGTGGGGCCTGTGATGCTTCCCTGAGGGAGGAACAGAAAGGAGAGGAGGAAGTTCCGAGTCAAGGCTGGGGTTGTAGGTAGGTCAGGGCTGGGCTGGGTCTGGGAAAGAATTAGGTTTGAGGTTGAGGTCAGAACTGAGGTCTGGGTCAGATCAGGGTTGTGGCTGTTTCACGGCGGAGTTTGGTGGGGAAGACAATTGAGTTTAGAACCAGATTAGAATTGGGGATGAAGTTGTTGCTGAGGCTGAGGATGGGGTCAGAATTGGGGGCTGACACGATCCCACTCACTCCCTCCTGCTCAGGGCTCCCAGGCCAGCCAAGATGAAATTGCAGCATCAGCTTATCAAGCCGTCATCCTCGACCAGAAGTACAATGGTGAACCAGTCCAGATCCGGGTCCCCATGGGCAAGGAGCCGCCTCATCTTATGTCCATCTTCAAGGGACGCATGGTTGTCTACCAGGTATGGCTCCTGAACTGGGGTGAGACAGGCATCCAGGAGATGGGGAAGGGGATGGGTGGTGAAGGCAGGGCTTGGGCGAAGCCCGTTCTTCATAGGAGACTACCCTGGAGGCTCTATCATCTATGTGTAACTGGTAATAGAAACAACCCATTTGGTTACTTTAGAAATATGTGTAATTGGGCCGGGTGCAGTGGCTCACACCTGTAATCCCAGCACTTTTGGAGACTGAGGTGGGTGAATCACCTGAGGTCAGGAGTTCAAGACCAGCTTAGCCAACATGGTAAAACCCCGTCTCTACAAAAATTAGCCGGGCATGATGGCTGGTGTCTGTAATTTCAGCTACTCAGGAGGCTGAGGCAGAAGAATTGCTTGAACCTAGGAGGCAGAGGTTGCCGTGAGCTGAGATCCTGCCATTGCTATCCAGCCTAGGTGGCAGAGCGAGACTCCATCTCAAAAAAAAAAAAAAAATATATATATATATATATATATGTGTGTGTGTGTCTCTATACACACACACACACACACACACACAGTGTGTGTATATATATATGGCCAGGCACAGTGGCTCACACCTATAATCCCAGCATTTTGAGAAGCCGAGGTGGGTGGATCGCCTGAGGTCAGGAGTTCAAGACCAGTTTGACCAACATGGCAAAACCCTGTCTCTATTAAATGCAAAAATTAGCCAGGCGTGGTGGCGCATGTCTGTAATCCCAGCTACTTGGGAGGCTGAGGCAGGACCCAGGAGGTGGAGGTGGCAGTGAGCTGAGATTGTGCCACTGCACTCCAGCCTGAGCAATAAGAATGAAACTCCATCGAAAGAGAGAGAGAGAGAGAGAGAGGGAGGGAAAGAAGGAAGGAAGGAAGGAGAAAGGGAGGGAAAGAAGGAATAAAGGAAGGAGGAAGGAAGGAAGATGTGTAATGAGCATTCACCATCTGCAAGTACTGCCTGCCATCTACACTCCAACTTCTTAAATACTTTACATAAAAAAAGAAGATATTTTGGCTACATTTGCCTAAATGATGCACCGGTGCAAACTGCATTGGTGCCTTCCAACAAAATGAAATAGACATCTAATGCAACTATTTAAGCAATAATCTGCCTATTGAGCACCTGAAACACACAGTCCTTTGCAAGTCCCCAAGCAAGGAGAAGAACGGCACATTAATACAGTTTATCATCTTGTTGGCTGGAGTACAATAATCTGGGAATGCCATAGAATTTATGGGCGGGTGGGGAATTGGAGGAGACATTTGTCTTGACATTTGGGTCAGAGTTGAGGAGTTTAGCAGAGGTAAATCGACGGCATGCAATGCAGGGGCACAGCAGGGACAAGGGCCCGGGGAGAGGCTCCATGGGGAACATCAGAAGCCTGATGGAGCTGCCTGGGTGCGGTGGCTAAGGCCTGTATTCCCAGCACTTTGGGAGGCGGAGGCAGGTGGATCTCCTGCGGTCAGGAGTTTGAGACCAGCCTGGTCAACATGGTGAACCCTGAACCCCCGTCTCTACTAAAGATACAAAAATTAGCCAGGCGTGGTAGCGCGCGCCTATAGTTCCAGCTACTCAGGAGGCTGAGGCAGGAAAATTGCTTGAACCTGGGAGGCAGTGAGCCAAGATCACACCATTGCACTCCAGCCTGGGCAACAGAGCGAGATTTTGTCTAAAAAAAAGCCTGGCAAAGCTAAGCTGGAGGGTGGCAGCAGCAATGTCTGCAAAGGCAGTCTGCATCTTCGTCATGTGGGGCCTTCAAAGGCACCGCTGAGGAGCTGGGCTTTAGGCTATAAGCAGTGGGGACTCACTGAATGTTTTTGAGCAGAGAATCACCATGATGAAGCAATGTTTTAGAAAGACCTGACGACACTGCATCAGAGGAGCTGCAGGGCAGGCCGCCCCGCCCTACCCTCTCCCTTTCTGGTTCTTTGTTCCCCTCTTTCCCTCATCATCTTCTTTACTAAGTGACTCCTGTCTCTCTCCCTGCCTTCTCCCCTCACTTGCAGGGAGGCACCTCCCGAGGTAACAACGTGGAGTCTGGGCCCTCCACACGGCTGTTCCAGGTCCAGGGAACCAGAGACAACAACACCAAGGCCTTTGAGGTCCCAGCGCGGGCCAGTTCCCTCAATTCCAATGATGTCTTTGTCCTCAAGACCCAGTCCTGCTGCTACCTATGGTGTGGGAAGGTGTGTTCAAGGGCCTAGAGGCCTCCCCATTCCCAAGTGGGTCCTGGGAGTCCCCCAGTTATGCAACAGACCTCGGTATTCTTACAGAGATTCTCCTTTAATCTCCGTAAGAAGAATGCACTGCCTCTTAGAGTCCCTCGCCCACCCTTGAAAAGACTCTCTAGTTTTCTCTGCTATTCTCTGGAATGTTAAGGACAGAGGAGAGCATGGAATTGTCCCTGTGTGCCCTGTAGACACACGGTGGGTCCTGACCCAGGCGAGCCTTCTTAGACCCCGGAACTCTGTGCGGTGAATATGGTAGGGGGGTGGAGGTAGGGGTGGCACTAGAAATTGGCCAACCCCTTTGTTTTCCCAGGGCTGTAGTGGGGACGAGCGGGAGATGGCCAAGATGGTTGCTGACACCATCTCCCGGACAGAGAAGCAAGTGGTGGTGGAAGGGCAGGAGCCAGCCAACTTCTGGATGGCCCTGGGCGGGAAGGCTCCCTATGCCAACACAAAGAGGTAACTCCCAGGTCCCCCCGCCTCCAGGTTACCAAGGTGGGGCAGCCTTCAGCATCTCCATCCCCACACCCAGAGCCCACAGCAGGCATGGACTGAGGACTCTATGTCAGGCACCGTGCCAGGCCCCCAGGGCTACAAGATAAATAAAGGGTAGCCCATGCCCTTGGAGCCCCTTGGCACAGGGGCTGTGTCTGTGCTGCTCACTACAGTATGTCCAGGACCTGGTGGAGTTTTCTTTGGCAAAGGGAATTCCTGGCCATAGGAGGCAGCTCAAAGAGAGGGGCAGGGCTACAGGTTTGCCTTTCGGTAAGAAGGTGCCAGAGCCTAGCCTGCCTTTAGGTCCTGAGACAGGCCTGGGATGCTGAGGAGCACAAGCCACAAGCCCTCTTTCAAAAAGTTTTGTTTTGTTTTGTTTTTGTGACAGAGTCTAGTTCTGTCGCCCAGGCTGGAGTGCAGTGGCGCAATCTCAGCTCACTGCAGCCTCTGCCTCCTGGGTTCCAGCAATTCTCCTGCCCCAGCCTCCTGGGTAGCTGGGATTACAGGCGCCCACCACCATGCCTGGGTAATTTTTGTATTTTTGTTTTTTTTTTCTTTTTTTTAAAGACAGGGTTTCACCATGTTGGTCAGGCTGGTCTTGAACTCCCAACCTCAGGTGATCCACCGCCTTGGCCTCCAAAGTGCTTGGATTACAGGCGTGAGCCACCACGCCCAGCCCAATTTTTGTATTTTTAGTAGAGACAGAGTTTCACCTTGTTGACCAGGCTGGTCTTGAACTCCTGACCTCAGGTAATCCACCTACCAGAGACTCCCAGAGTACTAGGATTACAGGCATGAGTCACCGTGCCTGGTGCAATCTTGGCTTACTGCAACCTCTGTCTTCCAGGTTCAAGCAATTCTCCTGCCTCAGCCTCCCGAGTAGCTGGAATTGCAGGCATGCGCCACCACGCCCAGCTAATTTTTGTATTTTTAGTAGAGACGGGGTTTCACCCTGTTGGCAGGACGGCCTCCATCTCTTAACCTCGTGATCTGCCCACCTCAGCCTCCCAAAGTGCTGGGATTGCAGGCGTGAGACACCTTGCCCAGCCTCAAGCGGTTTTTCTAGAGAATATCCATGATCCACTAGTCCCTAGTTCAAAAGCAAAAAGGCCTGTACTGCAGTAGCAGCAGGAGGGATGGAGGGAAGATATCAGGAAGAACTTCCTAACAAGGCTCTGCAAAAGCCACTGGAATGCATGTCCAGAAAGCAGTGGAAATTTCTCCCTCAGAGCACTCTTGGAATGAGAGGGGACCCTTTTGTCAATCAGAAGACAGGGTATTTTGCTGGAGATGGCCTTTCCATGCCAGAGTCCCTCCCTCAGAGTTCTGTGTCCTGGATTCTCCTTTGCCACACCTTCCTTCTGCCAGTACAATCTTCTCTCCATCCTGCAGACTACAGGAAGAAAACCAGGTCATCACCCCCCGGCTCTTTGAATGTTCCAACCAGACCGGGCGCTTCCTGGCCACCGAGATCCCCGACTTCAATCAGGACGACTTGGAAGAGGATGATGTGTTCCTACTAGATGTCTGGGACCAGGTAGGACCGAGGGCCTTGGCACCCCCCTTCCCAGCCACCTCAATCTCCAGGGCCAAGAAAGAGTGGCTTTAGGGTTAGATAAGTGTCAACATTTTCTTGGCCCTCATGTAATTTCTGCCTGGAAATGGTATTATGAACACCAGGAGCATAAGAAAGAAGGGAGGTGGGGAGGAACGGACTCAGAGGGGCTGCAGGGAAGAATGAATTCTCTCCCAAAGTCCTATTTATTTCACATGGCAGCAGGAGTGTTTTTGAGAATCCTGAGCTTTAGACAGTCCAGGAGTCACACATTTGCAGAATATCCAAGTACAAGTCGTCTGTCCAACCTCATAATTTCCCAGATACAAATTCAAGGCCAGTTGGTGCCTGTCCTAGGTCATTTGGCTGGTAGTGGTAGAGTCAGGGTCAGGGTCAGGGCTTCACTGCTGGACAATTGAGGCAGATCCCTGGAGGCCAGGGAGGACAGGAAGGACGGTCTGACCTCCCGGGTTTCTCAATAGGTCTTCTTCTGGATTGGGAAACATGCCAACGAGGAGGAGAAGAAGGCTGCAGCAATCACGGTGCAGGAATACCTCAAGACCCATCCCAGCGGGCGTGACCCCGAGACCCCCATCATTGTGGTGAAGCAGGGACATGAGCCCCCCACCTTCACAGGCTGGTTCCTGGCTTGGGATCCCTTCAAGTGGAGTGTGAGTGGCCTCATCCCAGCACATCCTGCTCTAGCCTTGCCTGGAGAGCAGGCTGACTCCCGAAGGCCTCTCTGTCTCCTGGGGACATGTGACCTGCTGATTTAGAAAGGGGTTAGAGGAGGCTTCGAATAGAAAGTAAGGCTGCGTGGAGGCCCTTAGGCTTCCTGGTGAGGGAGAGGGAAGAAGTCTATCAAAAACTAAGGCTAATTATAGTGCCTTGTTTGCATGCTACATTTAGAGTGAAGCTGCTGGATAGTATAGGTAAGAAACGTACCAATTACTGAAAATTAAACACAGTTCAAAATTCAGTTTGTCACTAGCCACATGTGGCAGGCGGCCACCGCGTTGGGCAGCACAAGTGAGAATGTTCTCATCATCACAGCCACACGGCGGACCCTCAGAGCCAGCTGAAACACGTCGGTTCTAAAGAACTGACAAACGTCTTCCTGGTGCTAAATTCTAAGCAAAATAGGTCATGTGTGTGGTCCTTCCCTGAGGGATGTGTGCCAGGCTCCCCCGGTGCATTTCTCAAACTGGCCCCACCCAGAAGCAGGGGGCAGATCCCCCAAAAGGAACTCCAGCAAAGGTTTTCTGTCAGAAGAAGGCCAAAGTAGAGTGAGGCCTGGCCTGGTGGCTCTGGGTGCTCTAAACTGGCATAACAGATGAGTTTAGGGAAACAGAAAGCTTAATTTCCTTAAATCTGGTTTTTTTATTTTTTAATTTTAAATTCTGCAGTTAGATGGGCTGAATTTAAGTCTTGAGGATGGATTCAAACAATTCTCAAGGCAGCAAATCGAGATGCCAGGTTTTCTCGGGCCACTTCAGTTATCACCCTTCCCTCACCTCAAGTGTCTGGCTTCCTTCTCAGCCTCATTCATTCATTCACTCATTCATTCAGCATAAGTGTGCTCCAGGATATGGAGATGGGACTCCTCAGAGAGCCCATGGTCCCTTCACTCCTCTGTGGCAGGGCTCCGTTGTAGGATCTGGGGGGACTCCCCTGCCCACTGCCAGGAGCCCTCCATTCCCCAGAGCCTGCATAGCCTAGGCAGGGTTCTCCACACTGCCCGTGGGTGCTTGCACTGGCCCAGGCAGATGGGAAGAGATCCTCCCCATCCCCATGTCGGGCTGAACTGGGATAAATACAGCCTGCCCTGCCCTTTTCTGATCTGGCAGCCCCTCTGGTCCCAACCTCACCATCGAATCTCCTTTTTCAGGGACCCTCCTCCAGACTCAGCCTGAGTATCCTCTTTCCTTTCCCGAAGGCCGCAGACCAGCCTTCTTTCCATTCCTGAAGGAAAATGGCTTCTCATCCATCCCCTCTGTTGCGACCCAGCTCTAATCTGTTATTTACTTTATATGCAGAACACAAAATCCTATGAGGACCTGAAGGAGGAGCTTGGCAACTCTAGAGACTGGAGCCAGATCACTGCTGTGAGTCCGGGCCAGGGTGGCAGGGCCCTGCTGTGGCCAGCTGGTGTCAGGCCTGTGGGAGCCAAGAATGCTGCAGAGAAGACACCAGTGCCCTGTGCTTTCCCTCCTGTTTCTCCCCACTTCTCATTCTTCTTGCTGTTTGACTCCAGTGCCTCTAGTGGTTTTGTTTCCTCAATTTCCTAGTAAAACGATTCTTTTTTTTTGTTTTTTTTGAGACATAGTTTCACTCTGCCTCCCAGGCTGGAGTGCAGTGGTGTGATCTTGGCTCACTGCAACCTCCATCTCCAGGGTTCAAGTGAGTCTCATGCCTCAACCTCCCAAGTAGCTGGGATTATAGGTGCGTGCCACCACACCCAGCTAATTTTTGCATTTTTAGTAAAGATGGGGTTTCACCATGTTGGCCAGGCTGGTCTTGTTCAAGATCAAGTGATCCACCTGCCTGGGCCTCCCAAAGTGCTGGGATTACAGGCATGAGCCACCACACCCAGCCTGGTTTTCAAGTGTTATCATACATGGAGTCTGGGAGATGGAGGGCAGAGAGTGAGGGGGAAGCATATTAAACAGATTCCAAGGCCCCATTCCCAAAGATTCTGGTTTACAGACTGAGGGTTGGCACCTAGGAATCTGCATCTTTTAAATCTTATTTCAAAAAGGTAATTTCATGTAGTCAATGGACTACACGTTAAGAAATAGAAATCACCACCCTTGGGGTCCCTTCTCGGTAGAATAACTGCAACTCATTTGGTCTTTCAGTGAGTCAACAGAAATGTATTTAGGCCGGGTGTGATGGCTCACACCTGTAATTCCAGCGCTTTGGGAGGCAGAGGCAGGTGGATTACTTGAGCCTGGGAGTTTGAGACTAGTCTTGGCAATATGGGGAAACCCCATCTTTATAAAAAAAAAAAACCCAGCCAGGCATGGTGTGTGCATCTGTGGTCCTAGCTACTCAAGAGGCTGAGGTAGGAGGTTGGTTTGAGCCCAGGAGGCAGAGGTTGGAGTGAACTGAAATTGTGCCACTGCACTCCAGCCTGGGCAACAGAGCCAGACCCCGTCTCAAACAAAACAACCCTCCTCCCCCAAAAAAAACCTGAAGAGAAATGTATTTAGCCTTTAGGCCTTGGATATGGGAATATGAAATCAAAACCTTTATTTTAAGATGCTCACAGGCTTATAGAGGGAAGAAGACAGAGCTAACTCTGAGGAATGCATCCAAAACTCAAGAACACGTTCACACGCACTCTGTGGTATAATCCACAGATGGTTGAAACCTACGGCACTCACGAACCCCTTCTTGGTAGACTGACAGTGCACACTTGCATGCATAGATAGGTCAAGGTTAAGTGAATTTATGGATGACAATTTCACAACAGATAAGAGAGACAGGGTCATAAATATCCAGGCTAGATCTCAAACTCTGGAGGAAGCCATGGGGAAGTTAATGAGTCATTAAAGAAAAGACCTATTTTCCACTAATGGACTTTGATCAGAACAGACCACTAAGCTCTATGTTGTGGGTTTTTTTGTTTTTGTTTTTTGAGGAGACTCTCTCTGCCCCCCAGGCCGGAGTGTAGTGGTACAATCTCAGCTCTCTGCAACTTCCACCTCCCAGGTTCAAACGATTCTCCTGCCTCCGCTAATCCCAAGTAGCTGGGATTACAAGCGCCTGCCACCATACATAGCTAATTTTTGTATTTTTAGTGGAGACGGGGTTTCACCATGTTGGCCGGGCTGGTTTTGAACTCCTGACCTCAAGTGATCCACCCACCTCAGCTCCCAAAGTGTTGGGATTACAGGTGTGAGCCACCACACCTGGCCTATGTTGTGTTCTTATGAGTGTGTGTGTGGCAGGGTGGGGTGGGATATGGGAGGCTTCTTGAAGGTGGTGCCCTAGCATCAATGTTGACTTGAGAGAGAAAGGCAGCCTGGGAGGTAGCTGTGCACCAGCTAAAGTAACCAATGGTTTCCTTTTCTTTCCTAGGAGATCACAAGCCCCAAAGTGGACGTGTTCAATGCTAACACCAACCTCAATTCTGGGCCTCTGCCCATCTTCCCCCTGGAGAAGCTAGTGAACAAGCCTGTAGAGGAGCTCCCCGAGGGTGTGGACCCCAGCAGGAAGGAGGTAGGTCAGACTCTCAAAGGAGGACAAAGAAGTCCATTTGTCGGACCACTGTAGTTGATGCCCAGATTTGGCCCTGTAGGTGACTAGGTGCTGGGGATGCCCTGGTGAACAAGACAGATGAGATTCTGCCTTCATGCCAGCTTACCCCCCAGGAGGAGAGAGACCAGAGAAGCCTGGTTCCACTATGATTTAATTTCAGGGTTAAGTGCCAGAAAGGTGAAGTATAGGAGCTGTGAAGGGTATTACAAACAAGGCTGGGTGTGGTGGCTCATGCCTGTAATCCCAGCACTTTGGCAGGCCGAGGCAGGTGGATCACCTGAGGTCAGGAGTTCAAGACCAGACTGACCAATATGGTGAAACCCCATGTCTACTAGAAACACAAAAATCAGCCAGGCTTGGTGGCACATGCCTATAATCCCAGCTACTCGGGAGGCTGAGACACAAGAATTTCTTGAACCCAGGAGGCGGAGGTTGCAGTGAGCCGAAATCATGCCACTACACTCCACCCTGGGTGACTAAGACTGTCTC